CAAAGCATCCATGTGAGGTGGGGGACATGGGGGAATATCGCCATCCGTGAAAGTGATGGATTCCCGCTTCTGCTTTTTGTTAGCAGGAAGACGGTTGATTTCCCCAACGAATAGTTGGCGATTCCACTTCTTTCTCTCCCCCGCCGTGTCTCCTCCGACATGTCCACCATAGATTTGGTTGACATGCGGGCGCTTTTGCAGGCCTGAATCCTCTCCTTCATCATCATCCTCGAACTGAGCCCCGACCTCCCTCTTTTTAGAGGTTGAGGCCAGCTCGTCTGTCCCCTTGTTACATGTGTTCTTCCTCGGAGGGTGTTGTCCCTGCTGGCTTTTCTTCACAAACTGGTCGAGTTGCCCTTCACGTATGAGTCTCTCCACATACTTCTCCAGAAGGTAACAATCGTGAGTTTGGTATCGCTCTTGTGGAACTTACAATACTTACCCTTAGTAGCCAGGATGTTGACGATGTTGCATCCCTCCACAATCGTTATCAAGCCCTGCTTAGCCGCGTAGTCCAGGACATTACCTACTGGACGTGTCAATGGCGAAAAATCAGATTGGCTGGACACAGGTCCTTCGGGAACACCTGCTCTGCTCATTCCCCAGCCCTTCTTTTTCTTTTTAGACCCATTCCCCCTGTCCGAGTCATGACTCTCCTTCTCCGAGGACTTTTTCTTCTCGCCTTCAGGTTGGCGCTTTCCGGTCTCCTATTCTCTCTTCCTTTTCTCAGCTTCTTCCACCTCAGCTTGCGCGTTGGCATGCAACAACGCTTCCTCGTGTGAGGTCGGGGGGGTTGCGCACAAAATCTTTGTATAGCTCACCCGACCTCAGGGCGTTGGTGAGTATGGTGACACCGGATTTGTTATCCAGGTCGTCCACTTTCACCGATTCGCCCCTCCATCGAGCTAGGAAATCAACTAAGCTTTCCTGGGGTCCCTGTCTGATACCCAAGAGGTGAGAGAAAATCTTCTTGGAATCTTTGGAGCTAGCGAACCGGGCCACGAAAGCATGAGCCAACTCGCTAAAGCTTTGGATCCTCCCATCAGGTAGGGAGTCATACCACTCCCAAACCGGTCCGTCTAGGGTCACCAAGAACCCTCTACACTTGATAGCATCATCGTACCCCATCATCACCATGTATGCCACATATCTGGAAACATGGTGCTGGGGATCGGTCTTTCCTCAGTAAGCCTCAATATTGCATGGCATGTATCCTTGGGGCTATGGAGCGTTCATGATCTGGCGAGTGAACGGTTCGGGAATCCTTACTTCATGATTGGGGTTAATTATGCCGTCCATCTCCCTCCTAAGCTCTTCTAGCCTCCTCCTGAGGTCGTCGTTTCCATGACCAGCTTGAACTCGAGGTGGAGTTCGGCGATCTCCGCGGGCCTGCCGGTTGGCGTTGATCTCGTCCCTGAGATCTTCCCCACGCATGTTACGGCGGTGGGATGAAACGGTCGCAGATGATGCCTCCTCACTCTGCTCAGCCCTGTATGAGATTCTGTCATGCACGAAGATCCTTTGCCCGCTGATCCAGTCCATCACCGAGGTCCTCGGGGTTCGGCCTGGAGTGATGGGACCGCTGAGACCGGGTTGCCAGAGAGTTTCTTTGTTGCAGTTCACATCTCTCTTCCCCCCGCTGAGGTATGGATGGAGCTCGACGAGGGGAAGGAGGTCTTGCATTAACACTAGGAATAATACCTTGAAAGGCGATGGTCAGAGTCTCCACAGCCCTCTGGAATGTTGCCAATCTCACTAAGGCTTGGGCTGGATCGACGTTGGGGATGAGGTTCCCGGTGCCTGGTGTCTGGAACTGCGATGGCCGCACCGCCGTGCGTATGGAACTCCCAATGCCATGGAGATGATTTCTCAAATCACCCTGAGCCGCGGTGTTGTCGTCACGTCTCCTGAAATCATTGCGCCGTGACCTAGAACTCTCGTCCTCGATCATGACTTGATTGAATCGATCGCCTTAGCAGACCGTTCTCTCAACGAGAGCACCAAATGATGGAGTTTAATCCAACTACGAGAGCTAAATCCACGAAAGTAGATGAAAGTTTGGCAACATAAGGCAATATTATTATTATTCGGAAGAACGATTGACCGATCCCTTTACGGGAAATATACAAGAAGTATTTATAGACTCTAGGAGCTAATATTCTAGGAGGAAACTGTTACAATAAATGCTATTAATTACATATTAGTCCGAGTAGAACTCTTGTAACGTCTTTGCCGTTGTGCAATGATTGTTCCTTTAAGTCCATGTCCTTCCGTTATTCCTGCCTGCTGCCAGATAGCCATGCACGAATGATAGCCTGCCACGCAAGCCCTAGGAACATCCCGACCTCACTAGAACTCCGCCCAGGCTCGAGGTATGGTGTCTAGTCTGGCCTGGTTGTGGGTTTCTGTCGTGGGTCCGATTCCTAGTTAGGCCCAATGGTTAATCATACTAATTCCATTTATGGGCTGATCCAGTTTGGGGGCTTGATCATGGTATGGGTTGGATCCCGTTATGGGCTGGATCTATAATTCGTAATCGGGCCACAGCTAGAGTCCATGGTACCATCAATAGTTTTATGAAATACAGAGTAACTAACATTGTCACCCGTCAATTGCACGGGGTTGATTGTTCTCATTAGTTTATATTGCTTTCATACAAATAGTCTTTTAACCATGACTTCCAAAGTTTCAAACTTTCAAATGATGTGCAATCGAGTTAACCTTGAGTATGGTCCTGAAAAGCAAACCAAATTCAAGAGTCAGCTATTCGGAGGAAAAAGTAATGAACAAAGATGTGATTCTAAATGAGTTTAGTGACTACCATTATATTTAAATAATTATCACGCATCATCAAAACTAAATTAGGGCAGAAAATGATTTTCCACTTCCAATTTTTATTTGATAAGTTTTTTGTCAAAGTTTTTGGTCAAAGTTAGGGTGTAATATATAGATCTTTTTATTCCAATATTACTAAAATGAATTAAAAAGACAAAAATACGACTTGTTTTAAATTTTTCCAAAAAGTGACTAAAAGTAATTTTATTCCTTATATTTAATCATAATTTATTATTTTAATAACATTCCTTTGCAGCCACCAACACCTATGTGGCCGCCAGCCCAGCACCGTCACCATCACCGGCACAGTCGCTGTCACCAGCATCGTCGCCGCCGTTATCGGGACCGCCACAGCTGTCACCGGCACCACCGCCGTCACCGGCACCACCGACACCACCGTCACCGATAGTAACTATCTTAGTGACTCCGGTCAAAGTGACTCCATCGCCACAGTGACTCCGACGCCACAGTGACTGTCGCCGCCCCCAATCAGTGACTGCCCCCTCCCCGGCCAGTGACTGTCGCTGTCCGCCCTTCCATTGAACCATCTCAAACCAACCACTCCGATCGACCGTGCAACCACCGCACCCCAACCAAAACCCCAGCCCCAGTCCACCACACCCCAGCCTCACCACACCCCATCCCAGCCCCACCACACCCCGCACCGGCCCCACTCTACCCTCCGCCTCCCGCCCCTGCCACTCAACCACCTCATTCGCCACCGCAACTACTCCGACCAGCCACCGAGTTGACAGATCTGGCACCGACAGCCCTTAAGATGGGAGATCCGACACTGGCGGTCCCAAGGACGACAGGTCCGACATCGGTGGCCCCGAGGATGGCAGGTCCGGCACTGGCGGCCTCAAACACTAGCCTCCGAGAAGTTCACCACAGATCTGGAAATGAGGACGGATATGACAATCTCGTTCTACCATGGCTGTTCATCTGGTAACCACTTCATTGATCGGACATAGACCAAAGAAGAAAAAGAAAAACCATCGGGCGACGATGTGGGATGTCGACGGAGGCGGCGACAACGTAGAGCTGGTGGAGGAAGCGGCATGCGATGACGTCTGAGGCGGCAGACATAAGGTGGAGCCGACAACCTGGAGGGGATGGTTGTGTGATGGCCGATTTTGGGGAGATTTCCCAAAATAGGAGTAAATGAAGTTTGAAATTCCAAAATAGGACTACTTTGTTTTTATTCCCGAAATGGGACTAACATGTCAGTATTTACTGTCATCTTGTAGCCGTGACTGCCAAATAGTTGCAGTACAGTGCATTTAACATGACATTATTCATTATAATTAATGACAATATTTTTCAATCATGGCAATATTTTTCATACATGACAGTAATAATTCCTATTTCGGCAAGAAAAACATACTAGTTCTATTTTTGGAATCCCAAGTTTGATTTGCTCCTATTTTGGGTAATTTCCCCCGATTTTGTGAGGTGGGTGAGGGGAGAGTGACAGCCGATTGAGAGGAAAAAAAGAGAGCCGCGACAGAGAAAGAGGTGAGAGGGTAGGTTACTTTTTTGTCAACTTTTAAATCAATCATATTTTTGGAAAATGAAAAACGGTAAGTCATAAACACATCATTTTTTCTAATCTAATATATATACGGAGTAGTAGACTAGTAGGTAGTACAATTGACGTTTTCGTTTTTGGTCAAAGTTTTCCGAGCGTTGATTTGCCGGATCCAGATTGCCCCATCCGGTCCGGATTAGCCGGGCCGCTTCACCGCCAGAGTTTTACAACACCTGCTCTGAGGCTATGTTTGGTAGACATAAGTCTCTACCTTCTAGCTTTTGTAATGTTAAAAAAGTCTCTAAAAGCTTCTAGTTATATGTTTGGCATGACAAATTTTAAGAGCTTTTCAAAAATTAAAAGATCCTTTTTGAGATGCTACAGAGAGTAGCATTTGAAAAAGGTCTGTGACTTTTATCATTAATTAGTCCTAACAACTTGTATACCAAACCAAACTAAATCAAATAGTCAGTTTTTTACCAAACAGCTATCACATTTTCTTTTTAAGATCTTTTCAGTCACTAAAAGCTAACCATTTTTATAAAGTTTATAAAAATATTTTTCAGCTAGTAAAGAGGAAATGTCGCCTTTGGCTCCCCACCTCACCACCTTGTACTCCGTATATAATAAAAGTGATAAATATCAGTCGCTGAGAAACCCGCTCCCCTTTTCCCTCGACTCGCTTCGACGTAACTCGTAATGTCCGTGGCCGCACCCACTTCCTTCTCCTCAGCTTCCTTCAAAACCCTAGCAAAACCGACCTTCAAAAACCTACATCACAACCTAGGTTTCCTTTCAACTCCCAAAGCTCTGTTCAAGCCCCTCAGAGTTCGACTTCTCCCCTCCGGCGGCCCGATCTCCGGCTCTGCATCGGCCGCCGTCATGGTCTCTGCTCCCGCCACCATCAAATCGCTTGATTCGTTCGATTTCGAAACATCTCTGTTCAAGAAGGAAAAAATCTCCCTTGCTGGACACGATGAGGTACTTTTGTGTACATGCATGCGTTGATTGAAAATTTGTGCCCATAATATTATGTGGTTTTGCTTGACTGGTAATGTGCAGTATATAGTGAGAGGTGGCAGGGATTTGTTTAAACTGTTGCCTGATGCTTTTAAGGGAGTAAAGCAGATCGGAGTGATCGGATGGGGTTCACAGGTAAGATTATGCTTGCTCTCTAATTGCATTTAAGTTTCACCTGGTATTGTTTTTCCCTCATTAATTATTCTCATTTATGTACTAAATGCGTTGGCTTTACATTCTTTTATTATTATATCCTACTACGCACGTCAAAGTGAAAAAATTGGCTTATACTTCAATCTGCTTGCTACTCCCAGCAGTGACAACGCACGTCAAAGTGAAAAAATGGCTTATATTTCAATCTTCTTGCTACTCCCAGTACTGAAAAAGCTATGTTATAGTTCACTATTGTCACTAAATACATGCACTTTTGCCCAAGTTTGTGAAAAAATAGTCTTTTGTTATCATTAAATTCAACACATCTTAATAAGTTGCTCTTACAAAAGGATAAACTTGGTACTGGACTCTCAGCACTGTTCATTCATCTTCCTACCTCATTCAATATGTGCTCTATTGTTTCTTGATTTCTATCAAAGATTAAATTGGACACGTTAGCGTTTAATACATTTTAATTTTATCGGTGTTGAACATTTACAGGGACCTGCACAAGCTCAGAATTTGAGGGATTCTCTTTTGGAGGCAGATTCTGATATAGTTGTCAAGGTATGCTGCTCTGCCTTTTTCATATTCTTTTCCTTCTTCACCAGAAAAGACAATCCAATATGTTTATTGTCGCATTGTACATTTCTTTGTTTTTAGTGTTAAATCTGTCGATCTTATATTAAATCTTGGTAAGCATATCAAATTTGTGTATCTCTTTTGCAGATTGGTTTGAGGAAGGCTTCTCGGTCCTTTAATGAGGCCCGCACAGCTGGATTTACGGAAGAGAATGGGACTTTAGGAGACATATGGGAGACTGTCTCTGAAAGTGATCTTGTGCTGCTCTTAATTTCAGATTCAGCTCAGGTTAACACTTACTTCGCGGTCCAACTGTTTTATTTTTTCTATACAAAGTCCCTTAAGCAATGTTTAGAACATTTAAACGGGAAATGGATAAATGCTAAGGAAAGTGAAGCTTAAAAGAATGTTAGGTTTTACCCTGCAAAACAGGAATGAAAATGAAGCAAATATAGACATGATAATTTTGAAATTTCAAATGTAGCTATGTTTTTCTGTTTTTATATAATATACATATATAATTTTTTATTGTCCCCCAAATTTTCTTTCTTTCAATTTTCCCCTCTGTATCTTCTTCACCTAGAAATTTGGGTTCCAAACTGACCCTAACTATCAAGGGATTATATATTTTTCTTAACCCATAAGTTATTCCATCATTTGCAATGGGCTCACTAAACTGTCTGCGCTTCTTTGTTATGAAGCAACAATAAATTGTCTGCGCTTCTTTGTTATGAAGCAACGGTCAGTTCATGCAATTTTTGACGCGATTTTCACTATGGGTCATCCGGAAACAGTCTCTCTGTGCTTACAGGGGTAAGACTTCGTACATCCAACCCCCTACCCCACTGTAGGTGGGAGCCTTTGCGGCACTGGGGTAATGATGATGATGATGAACCCATAAGTTCCAGCAAGGCAGTAAACATGGTTTTAAAAGGCGAAACGCACCTACACCTCAGAGGCGTAAAAGCGCAAAGGCGCTAACAAATCGCGTGTAAGGCTTGAGCATCACCTTCCACTTACAAGGCTAACGCCTTTTTTGCTGAGGCAGTGATGCGATCCCAGTGCTCAAGGCGTAATTGAGGCGTACGCATTTTACTAAACGCAACTTGGGCTTTTTTTTTTTTTAACTATTGGGGGCCTCAATTTAATTTTTTTTTAAAAAAACTACACGTTTATCTCTTAGGTAACACACGACATCCCTAGGTAACTTTTTAATTACCTTCCACTACTACAATATTAAGAAACGGCTTGAAAAACTCTCTCAGTCAAAGGCTTGAAGCTGAGTATGTAGACTTCGATCTTTCAGAGTTGCTTTCGTTCCAGGTATTATTAAGTAAATATATTAAAATATCCCAACGACCACTTGTATAAAATATCCCACCGTGTACAGCCTACTGCTATAGTTGTTGTATTTATTGTTTAAGTTAATTTGTTTTAACTTTTTAATTATTTAAAAGTTCAGGTTTGAAGTATATAGTCTGCTACGTATTTAATGCTTTTCAGCCAGCAAACTATAAAATATTCCACCGCCCCACTATAGTTGTTATGCACTTATGCTATTAAGTATTATGGTTGTCAACTTGTCATTCAATATTATTATTTTATTAATTTATTACTGTACTATTGGCCTACAGTGTAAACTTTAAAGTGATCATAAAACTATCATTTAGCTTATTTATTTGTCCTGAAATTTTAGTGTTTACGTTGGTTTGAGTTTTGACTTTGGCATTTCAATTTTATGTTATTCTGACTTGGATGTTTTATAGTTATGTTATTTTTACTTGATTTTGTTTAGATGGGATATTCTTTTAAACATTTAAGCAATTAATTTTGAGGCTTATGCCTCGTTACGCCTTGAGGCTTACGCCTCGTGAGGCTACGAGCAAATGCCTCGAGGCCTGATTTCGCATTTCAAAACCTTGGCAGTAAATGAGTATGACAATAATGCTTTGAATAATACTTTTTAAAGAGAGAATTCCCCTAGTAGGAGTGAAGCACTGCATTAAAGAAGTGCACAAATAAGAGCTCCATGTTCCGTGGTAAAAAAGTAGTCACTTTACAAAATTGCCCTTACATGAAGTTCTAGGCTTCTAGGTTTTTATGCTAAAAATAAAAGACATACATACCCCTTCGCTCAATGACGCCCACACTCCCCTTGGTGCCACAGTCATCCTTCTGGTGAGACAGCCACTCCCCGGAGTCATTTCCACCTCCCTCGGGCAAGACCCCCACCGCCATCCTCTGGAGCTGGTGCCATGTCACCTCTGGAGACGCCGTCATCTCCTCTGGTGAGGTTGCCATTTTTATAAATATAATGGCATATTATGTAATGGCGTTTTCGTATAAAGATGCCATAAATTGGCTTTAAGTGTCAAAATGGCATTTCGAGATAGACAACAATGCATATAAATACTCTATTTTCAAACAAGTATTTTTTCCATCTTGATAAATCATAAATGTAGCACCATAAAAATGGCAGTAATTTAAAATCAATGTTCGAATAAAAAATAGAAATAGTAGTTACTATTTTTTGAGTTCTTTTGAAAATCAAGAGAATATAATCTTTGGGAATAGTATTTTCGAATCAATGAGTATTTACTGGGAAAAATCAAAATAGTTAGGAAATGAAATCTAATTTTTTATACATAAATAGAATAAATAAAAAAGAAGGTAAATTGAAAACAAATTTGTCAAAAAAAATGAAAATGAGAGAACAAAATCAGAGGTTGAGAAGGAGGAGAACCTTACCTACAACATCCGACAGTTCTCCTAGTTATAGGAGAATTTCTAGAATGTAAGAGACGCGAAGCCACGAAGGAGAGGACCGATGAATGAACAGTTTTTTTCTTTGTAGAAACTAGAAAGGTAATGTGGAGTCTTATTTAGTGAATAAATTATAGGAACTCCTATTTTAAAACTTTCTCTATGATTTAGTCTTATTCATGTTTTTTTAATCTGAATTACATGTTACAATGCAGGCTGATAATTATGAGAAAATATTTTCACACATGAAGCCTAATAGCATACTTGGGCTGTCACACGGTTTCCTTCTTGGCCATTTACAATCGCTGGGCCTTGGCTTTCCTAATAACATTAGTGTTATTGCTGTATGCCCTAAAGGAATGGGCCCTTCAGTCAGGAGATTATATGTGCAAGGAAAGGAAATAAATGGTGCTGGAATAAATTCAAGTTTTGCAGTCCATCAGGTTTCCTTCTTTATTCCCCTTATTTGCTTCTGCACTCGCAGGAGCTGTTTGATATATATTTGAGATTTTATAAATATTGAAAGATTCACATAGCATGTGACCGTGTAACATTTCAACAACCGTTCACTCATTTTTAATAGCATTCTGTTTTAAGTACATACATTAATGCCTTGCATAGTATTCCCCTACAAAACCCTCTATCAAAATAGACCATTATGTTCTATTGGACATGGTGCCTTACATTATTTTCATGCACAGGATATTGATGGTAGGGCAACAGATGTTGCTCTTGGGTGGTCAGTTGCCCTTGGTTCTCCCTTTACATTTGCGACTACCCTAGAGCAGGAGTATAAGAGTGACATATTCGGTGAACGAGGTGAAATTAATTCCCTCTGTGTGGTACTTTTTTAGTGAGTATATGGTCATGGATGTGTCTAACATATTTTCATGTTTAGGCATTTTATTGGGTGCTGTTCATGGGGTTGTAGAATCACTATTTAGAAGGTACACTGATAATGGTATGGATGAAGAACTTGCTTATAAGAATACTGTAGAGTGCATTACAGGAATTATTTCCAAAACTATATCGACACAGGTAAATTCCTCCATCTAGATGGTAAGCTTTAATTTCCTATAAATTTATAATGAGTTTTTTCCATTTTTTGTCCCCCGACTATTATGTCAATGACACTTTTTGTACTCGACTTCTAATTTTTCCATTTTTAGTCATCGACTATAGTGCTAGAGACACTTTCAGTCTCCGACTTCAAGATTTCTCACATTTAGTCCCTAAGTATTGTCAAATCGACACTTTTAGTCCTCCCATTATGATTTTGATACAATAAGTGGAGGACTAAAAATGTCACTATTATAATAGTTGAAGGATCAAAAGTGTCACTTTTATGAAAGTTGAAGGACTAAATATGGAAATTTTCAAAGACGGGTACCAATAGTGTCTCTAGCGCAATAGGCAAGGACTAAAAATGGAAAAAATCAAAGTCGAGTACCAAAAGTGTCAATGACATAATAGTTGGAGGACTAAAAGTGGAAAAACTCATTTATAATTGTTGTATGCATTTTTTTTCTGTTTTAGTTTTTAAAGACGCAGTATTACCTACACTTTTGTATATTCGAGGTTGGGAAGGTCTGCCAATGTTTATCAGTTCTATTAGTACCTGACATGCTTGTTTATAAATGTTTTTGAGACTGGATCATTGACCGGTCAGGTTCATACAGCAAGCTGGCTACTACTAGAAATTGGTCAGACAAGTCATAATAAGTTTTAAGAAGCTTTGAGTTAAAAACTTATGAAGTGTAAATTGAGTTGAGAGTATATACTTCGACAACTTATCATTACCTAATAGGTTTATTAATATTAATATTCAAATTTGGGGTCTTTACATGAGGTCAAGTGCTCAACAAATATATATACTCCATATTTATTTTGTTCATGTATTATAGAATGAGTAAATCCTCTAAATGGGACTAAAACAACGGAAAAATGCAAAACTAGGACTACCATTTTTTAGGACTAAAAATATAGTAGCTTGACAAAATTAACCCTTCATATGAAAACTTCAGGTTTCCGTATCGCAGCAATCCTCCAGGCTCTAGCAATGGTGTCGTACTCATCCTTCAGCAATGGTGCCACAGCCATTCTCCAGGAACCATAGCGGTCGCCGCCCTTCGTCCATACCACCGCCATCACCGGCTGATGAGCCGACACATCCATTATCCGGCGAGTTCCTTACCTGTCTCCGGCAAGCGAGATTGCCATCTTATTAAAAATGACATAATAATGATATTTTCTTTTAAAAGTACGACATGTGCAGATGCGAAAGACATGACATTATCAGGTAAATAATTTTTTAGGTTAAATTTGTGGCATTTTAGTAAGAATTATTACATTGTAACAATTAAATAATGACAATATAAATTAAAAAAACATAATATAGGAAGAAAAAGAAAAATGAAAATCAGTAAAAAATGCAATCTTTTTAAAGTTAATGGCATAGAACTGACATTATTTGTCAAACAGGCAAAAAACATGGCATTCTAAATTTTGTAACTTCAAAGTTCGAACTAATATTGTCATCTTGATAGATTTAATGCCACAAAAGTGGCATTTTTCTCACTACTAGTAATTATGACATTCTAAGATTTCCTAATTAATCAAAATCAGTAAATATATAAATAAAACTCAAACCCAAAATTGGTTGTTCATTGAAATCTCACCTTTCATCTAAATGTTTACAAATCACAAATAGTATTTTTACTCGATTAGAAAAGTAAAAAAATTAAGAGAAATCAGAATCATCCTAAGAACAAGAAAACAGAGCACCAGGGAGAGGATGAGAAGATGAAGGAGAAGATGAAGGAGAAGATGAAGAAGAAGAAAGAAGAAGACCAAGCTGGAGAAGATTACCTGTTTTCGCCGGAGAAATTGGTGCGACTGGCGTTGATCGGGAGGGCTGCTGCCATTGATGGCGGAGGGGCTGTGTTCCATCGCAGGCGGAGTGGCTGGATTTCCATTGCAGGTGGAGAAATTACATATTCCCAGGTAGGTGTCGATCGGGAGAAGAGTAGTCTCAGGTGCAGATTCCCAGGAGTCTATCGGTTGGGTTTAATCATAAGGGCAAAAATGTAGTCTGGAGTCCTAATCAGGGAATAATAAACTTAAAGTCCTATTTAGAAATTTTGAAAATGTTTTGGTTTTATTTAGGGCAATTTCTTTTATAGAATAGACTTTATTTTACCGCTATAATGCTTAGTAACGTAAAAATAAAACATTAAAATAATATTATAAATGTTTTCTCTAAATTACAGTTAGGTAGTTGATATTCAGATTAAAAGATACGTAGTATGAATTTTTATGGTCCCATCTGACACTAGTGAGCAGATGTAACCAGTTACCAGTCGCCCTGCGTCCCTGACCTGCTTGATGAATGGTCTGGTTTTGAAGTTCTTATGTATACTTTTGTCATAATAGTACTTTCCTTGTTCCCCAAAATAGGGCATGTTGGCTGTGTACAATTCTTTGACCGATGAAGGAAAGAAGGAATTTGAAATCGCATACAGCGCTTCATATTACCCTTGCATGGACATCTTGTATGAGTGCTACGAAGATGTAGCCGCTGGTAGTGAAATTCGGAGTGTCGTTTTGGCCGGTCGTCGTTTTTACGTAAGTTGGTCCTAATGTTTTCTCCAAAACAAAAGTAATTTCATACAATCTTGGCTGAATTGCAGATTTACCTTGGTGGCACCCTATAATGTGCAGAAACCCTTGCCAGTTGGTGTTTACACTTTTTGCAAACTCAAACTCTGGGAAACTTTTTGAAATTGCAACTCCGTCTGAGAAATGTCATTCTCAAGGTCTAGATTGCAAAAAAGCAGTCCGTGGACCGTACACCCAGATGTATGGTGAGCACTGTACATCTGGACATAAGTGAGGGTTCTGAATTTTCTGTTTTTTGCATGCTCATTTCGTGCAACACAATTGTACTACTTGCTTTGGTATTAGTGCTACACTATTTTACTTTGATAATTACTTATTACTTAATGATGATTAATAATATTTTCAACAATTTTTTTAATTTAACAAGGTTGGGTGTTACTTTAATAGGACTTTCCATCTCAATTTTACTAGCCCCTTTTGGAAAAAATTAACAGGACTTTCCATCTCAATTTTACTAGCCCCTTTTGGTAAAATAATAAATTACATACCTCAATAATAACAACAATCAACATACATGAATATTTGGCTATTACGAAGTATTTTTCTAATGTATATTCACTTAAACTATAATTAATAGGATCTTGTATATCCCCTCCTTATGTCAACCTAATTTATACTACATATTAATGATCAACATGCATAATTATTTAGTATATTTTGCATCAAATATAGCTTATATTACACAATGGATGCATTGACTAAAAATTATATCGCTTTGGCATGTAGAATTGTAGCAGTAACTATCAATAATTTTGGTTATTATATTTATTTTTATAAAAGAAAGTAAGAAACTGATGGAAGTGAAAGCAGTAATGAGTTTTTCCTCGTGATTTTTTTGACCAATTTAAGCAATTTTTTGACCAGGAAAAAATGTGTATCCTATCAAATTACTACATAGCAACTCACACTTTAGAAGATACAAACAATTAACTAGCTTCAATATAATATTTTATATTATCGTATTTTTGGTCCAAATATCAAGTATTAAAAATACATAGTATCCTATCAGACTTCATTAATTGCAAATAAAGAAAATATTCTATTGTTAATTCATTCACATAAAATTTAAAATATAATTATAGGTCATTTAAATTTACACAAATAAATTAGGTAAAGTGGTAAAAATTTACTTTACTTTAGATGTGATCAATAAGATAGTTATTGAACATAATTGTGGTGGTCTTGTCTTTTAATATGATTACGTTAATTTGTTATGGGGTTAAGGTAATAAAATATACATTCTGTGTAAATATTGAGATAATTGAACATATATTATTAGTGCTTTTCAAAATATGTGTTCAATATAAAAAAGACAACATTTAGAATGTGTTTTAGGAAGTATCATTTTTTTAAAATATATACATAAATAATCACTTACCATTTTGTATGTTTTTATCTTCTTCATCTTTCTTATGTTCTTTATCTTTTTTATTTTATATTCCGTATATATATATATTATTTTTTCCTTGTATCTTATCATTTTTATCTTTAACTTAATCTTTATTTTTTACTTATCCTTTTTATCTGTTTTTATCATACCTTATCTTTTTATCTTTCATATCTTATTCTTTATATTAGCCGATCCCATCATATAGGATTATTGAACTATTAAACAATACTATCGTATATTTATTTGAGGGTTGGATGTTGTTTTTGTATTTATTGGAGGTTTGATAATTTTTATAGATAATGAAGTTAGTCATAATTTGTACGGAGTGCTATATTACATACTCATAAGTTGAGAAACCTGTGCAACGATCGTGCACTAAGTCTAGGTATTCATTAGTATTGACAAGCTGGGTAAAATGGGACAGGAAAAGGAGGGTCTGCCTGCTTTCCCAATGGGTAAAATTGACCAGACAAGGATGTGGAAGGTCGGTCAGCGTGTACGGGCAGTTAGACCAGCAGGTCATCTTGGTCCTCTGAATCCTTTTACTGCAGGTGTATATGTGGCACTTATGATGGCACAGGTTAGTTTTCTTCTTCATAAACTGCAGTTGCTGATTTCCTGCACTTTAAAGTGCTCATTTTGTTCTTCAACACGATGTTTTTTGAAGCGTTAACGTGTTGGACTACACTAATTGTAGTCCACTAATTGTAGTAACTAGTATTTTTTGGCTGAAATTGGTAAATGGACCCTTCTACCCTTGCCTTTTGGTTATGATTAACTCATGTAGTTTATTTTAAAAATACATTTTTGAGCAATCCAACGTATTTATTAAATGTATCACTAAAATCCGCAATGAGGTTTTTGCATGAATATCACTAAAAGAAAGCTTAAGACCAAAACATGACTACTTTTTACATAGAAATAATGACTAATACTACCTCCATTCCTTAAAACTTTGCCAAAGTTGACCGGCACAGAGAATAACAAAGTAAAAACTGTGTGGTTGAGGTTTGTGCAGGGGAGAGAGTAATAACAGAAACCACAAAAAAATTGATTAAAAGGGAAAGTGTCAAAGTTTTTTGGGACGTCCAAAAAAGGAAAGATCACAAAGTTTTAAGGGACGGAGGGAGTATATTACTAAAATAAAGATGGTGGATAAAAACATTACTTTTTATGCTTATGTGACCATAGTACTAATTTTAGTAACCATTCATTTCATTTTCATTTACCCCAGTGCCGCAGAGGCTCCCACCTACGGTGGGGGTAAGGGGGGGGGTCGGATGTACGCAGTCTTACCCCTGTACTAAAGCACATAGAGACTGTTTCCGGATGACCCATAGTGAAAATCCCGTCCAAAATTGCATGGACTGAAAGCTGCTTCATAACAAACAAGGGCAGACAGTTCAGTGAGCCATTTTGCTTTATTCCATTGCAAATGATGGAAATAATTTTAGTAACCATTAATACATTAAAATTTATACTCATAGTAATTTCTGTTTCATTTTTGTCCATAAATTCTATTTCAGTAATATTAACAAAAAAACCTTTAAATATCCTAAGAAAGTACAAGTTAACTACTAACTAGGTATTAGACTTTTAAATTTTAATTCTAATATTAAAGTAAAAAGTCCCAAGTCCCAACTCGTCACAGTAGGTGACACAGGCCCCTGCCTCTCTAAACACCCAAATGGCGGTGACATTTTCCGCCATCTTTTCCGGTCAGTTGCCCCATAGCAACTTTTTAGAGGCAGTGGATGGCATTATTAATGGGTAATTGTAGGGTTAGAGAGTGCTTAGGCACTGTTATCTTTTATGCCTAAAATAACAGTTGGTTATATTTTTTTACTCTTTTTAATATACTCCCTTTCCTGTTTTATCATTTACCCTACACATTCTACATTTACCCTACAATTTTTTTATTAAAATCCGTGCCCAAGGCTAGCCCTTTCCTACTTTATCATTTACCCTACACATTCTACATTTACCCTACAATTTTTTTATTAAAACTTGTGCCCAAGGCTAGCGGGACAGATAATAAAGAATGTAGGGAGTATTAATTATGGTCATTGTTTCTATGGGAGGCAAAAAGTAGTGCATAATCGACTTTTTGTTGAAATGGCTGAATGGGAGATAAAGAGTCCTATATTTCTTTTTAGTTATTATTATTATTATTATTATTATTATTATTATTATTATATTTAACTAAATTTGTAGAATTGCATTTTAAACAATCAAGCTAAGTTAGTAAACTCAGCGAGCGACTTCAGTCATTTTCTACCCTGTACACAAGCTCTAAGGATCTGGTTGGTTGAGATTTTAAATTTAATTTAATTCAATTGAATTTTATATTGTTTATCAGAAGAATAAGTAAGCCTTACAAATTTTTATTTGGTTGAAAGTGATGTTACCAAACACTTCTTTCATATCCTCAACACAAGCCATTTATGCCAAATAACCATATTAATTACTCCATCCGTCCCTTATAACTTTGCCAACTTTCCTTTTTTGGATGTCCCATTAACTTTGCCACTTTCCCTTTAAAGTAAAAAATTTGTGGTTTCAATTCATTCTCTTTCCTCTGCACAAAAGCTGTAGGTATATACTACGCAGTAGATTATGTGTATAAAAGATATTTTATGTAATTGCTTTCCAAAAGGAAATGACATAACAACGGGCTACTGCTGTAATTGTCTTTCTAAAACAAACAAATGCCATACATAAAATGGATAATTGGTTTCATCAGCAATTGTGGCCAAGTAGAAGTGGTTACCCTATGTTATATATTATGGTTGCTCTTTAGATTGAGGTTCTAAGGAAGAAAGGCCATTCATACTCGGAGATCATAAACGAGAGCGTGATAGAGTCTGTGGATTCACTAAACCCGTTCATGCACGCACGTGGAGTCTCATTCATGGTCGACAACTGCTCAACGACAGCAAGGCTTGGATCACGGAAGTGGGCCCCGAGGTTTGACTACATCCTCACCCAGCAAGCGCTTGTGGCTGTGGACAACAGTGCCACCGTCAACCGAGACCTCATTGGGAATTTCCTCCGTGATCCCGTGCACGGTGCCATTGAAGTGTGTGCCCAATTGAGACCCACTGTCGACATATCGGTGCCTGCAGATGCTGACTTTGTGCGTCCTGAATTGCGGCAGTAGCCTCTTTACTTCGCGAGCAGAATTCATGAGCGAGGACCTTTTTTCTGTATGCCCAATTGAAACGCGTTAATATGTTTTCTGCCTAGAATAATTTCTGGACTGCGTTCTTTTTTGCTTGTCTGTTACTAGCAATAATATTTATTACTCCGTTACAGACTATAAAATTATAAGCCACGCAAAACTATAAAATTATTGTGATGCGATGAAATGTCTGATGATAAATATTTTTTTGATGAAATACTGATATATAAAAACTGCCAGTCAGACTCCCAAGCTTGCTTCTAAGTTGTACGGAGTGTTAAATTATCTCTAAAACTAGTGTGATTTGTAAATTTGTTTAAGGGAAGATAGTTAAGTAAGTCCCCAGGCCCCATCTTATCATTATTTAGCAATTGGGCCCTCCAAGTCATTGAGTTACAGTTGCGTATCCCAAGTTATAAAAACAAGAAATTAAATTGTATTTACAAAACATAACACGTAACCAGAAGGCCACTTTTATTATATGTGACTATGGATGTTTGAAAATTTATTTTTATATTTTTTGCATAAAGATTTTTTATATATATATATTAAAATTCATAAATAATTATATTTTATTCATTTATAATTACAAATAACAACAATAATAATAATAATAAGGGGTGTGCAGTGTGCACTATCCGGTTTAAACCACAAAATCGGATTGAATCAGACCGGAAAAATTGGAACCAGATTGAACCGGAATGATATCCGATCAGGTCCGGTCCGGTCCGGTTTGAATTGGTGCACACCCCTAATAATAATACTAATAATAATAATAATAATAATAATAATAATAATAATAATTAGGGGTGTGCACTAGCCTGTTTAAATCGGAAAATCAGACCGAATCGGACCAGAAAAACCGAATCTGGATCAAACGGGAATGATATTCGGTTCGGTTCGGTCCAGTCTGGTTTTGAACCGGTGCACACCCCTAGTAATAATAATAATAATAATAATAATAATAATAATAATAATAATAATAATAATAATAATAATAATAATAATAATTATGGGTGTGCACTAGCCGGTTTAAACCGGAAAATTGGATCGAACCGGACCGGAAAAACTGGAACCGGATTAAATCAGAATGATATCCGGTCCGGTTCGGTCCGGTCCGGTCTGGTCCGGTTTTGAACCGGTGCATAGGGGAGCACTGGACGGGTTCGGGTAGGACGAGTGAAGATTTGGCATTCTCGGTCGGTTTTCGGGTTAGGAATTTAAAACCCTACCTTGTTCTATAAAAATGTCGGGCTGTTTGGGTTGCCCAATTTCGGATTCCGGTCGGTTTGAATCGGATATTCGAGGCCATTCGGGTTAGGAGTTGACTCGGGCCGGGCCAATCGGCCCGGAACCGGACTGGCTCGGTGAACCGGTTGGTGCCCGGTTCAGGCCACCTGGCCCGGTGAGGTAGGCGGGCCAGGCTCGGGCCTCCTAAATCGTGAACCGACCCGGCCGGTTGGGCCAATTTATTTTTCTTTATTTTTTTTGATTTTTTTTTAAGTTTTTAGGTTGGGCTGGGTATGATGGGCCATTTGAGGTGGTTTGGGGTGGTTTGTGGAATTGTGGGTGAGGGGGGAGGGTTGGGGGTTAATTAGGAAAAGCCAAAAAAAAAAAAAAACACAAGAACCGAGGCCCAGCTCAGCCCGGACCGGACCCGGGGTTACCCGGGTCGGTTCCAGGCCTCCCTTTTCATGAACCGAGGCCTGGTCGGGCCCAGGCCTGAACCGGGCCCGAACCGGAACCGGTCCACCCCTAATTCGGGTTGATTAAAAGCCATTAAATAACATACAATATCAGCTATCTCATTTAAATTAAAAGTTTGTGAAAAAATACAGCATTAAATTACAATACAAGTAACAACTAACAAGTAACAAGTAGCCAAATAATAGAGTCTGTACTTTTACTTTGTACAACTCCAAGCACAGTTAATTAGTTATACAGTTGTCACCTAAATACTTATACATAATACAGTTTGAGAATAAACTTTGAGTAATCCAAAGTTCCAAAATAGTAAGTAGCAACAAAAACTTGAATTTTAATGGTGGCAGATCTTGAATATAGTCCCTTCTTCCAATCTTCCATAGTTCCATGACTCCATCATTCCATGTGTGTAGCAGACCAGCAACAAAATACTCATTGAATATGTTCCTAGGTACATCACAAGTTAAAAAATTACTAGAAATGTAGTGTTTAGGTTTCAGATTTAGATTCACTTCAAAAAAATATGTATGACATGATGAATACTAAATGCAATCAGGTTTGGCTCAGGTTTAGCTTCACTTCACAAAAAATGGGGTCATTAAAAACTATATAGAAATATAATCAACACCAACTCATTTGTTTTTGCAACCTGGTAGAAGTGTAGAAGGGTAACAGAGTAGCAACTTTCATCATTGCGAGAAATAAGTAAACTAATGATCTACCATCAATTTCATTACTTGGTAGAAATGAGGGCATAACAAAGTACATAGAATGATAGAAATAGAACCAACACAAGCTACTTAGCTACCATCAATTTCATTACTTGGTGAAAGGTATCATCATTTCCAGAAATATGGAAATAGAATCATTTCATTTCATTAATTGGTAGTAGCAGGGGCATAGTTTGGCTCAGATTTGCATTCATTTCACTATTAGTGGGGGCATTGAAACTATATAAAAATAGAATCAACACCAGCTACCATTATAGCCCCAACATCATGAGCTTCCACCACAGGTTCTTGGGAAATAGGAGTCAGAGGAGGTTGAGAGCCAGAGACAAGTATGATATCCATACATTCAACTTCCATTCTGATAAGTCATATGAGTATATAGTTCAAAAACTCTATGCAATTAACACAGTGAACAACATCATACATTCACAAATGACAATAAAGTCTGGAACAATCAGCAAGCTGATCTACAGAAGGATATAAGTAGTAGGCCTATTAACTTCTCTACAGACTTAGAAGATACCAGTTCACTCTAACTACTCGTTTGAGTGTTGGAGTAGAAAAAGGTAACTTCAATCATCATGTTTACTCAGCAAATTGTATTCACAAATCATCAGAATTCAGAAAATATGTGTATGAAAGCATGAAAGCATCATAATTCTGATGTGTACACATTACAATTTACTCATATATCAGAGACATGAAACTAGGAATCAAAATCTCTGAATCAAAGGCATCACTACTCACTTAATGCAGCTTCCACCCATGAATATGAACATATGAGAGAAATATGCAACTTCCACCCATAAACTCATTAAACTGTGAATCACATATTCACAAGCATCATATATATATAGTTCAAAACTAATGCATATCAATATCTCAGAAACACATGGGCATGAGGCATCATCGAGGCATCACATATTCAGAGGCCATCTATATCAAAATATCAGAATCATAGACTCACAGGCATGCCCAATGCATAACAGATTAACAGGTTGTTCATACAAAGGGTTTCACAGGCCGGATCTAGGGTTTAATGCTTCCACCAAACACATTTAATGATAACACAGGTAAGTCATATACAAAAATGATAACACATCACAATTAGGGACCAGGCTTTCACCAAAGGCCATTTCAAAGCCAATATTAGAGATCGGAACATGCAATAAATTGTTTATCCAAGCAAACAAAGCATACAATTTCATTATTTAATGATTATACCTCACTACCTCAATAAGAATTAAGATAATCGAACAAGTTGGAAGCTTCCACAAATCCACAAGACAAGACCACAATAGCGATCTAGATACTGCTTCGTAACACTGGTCGGCTATGATCGGCTTCCACCAAGGCAGAGAGGCACAAACGTACAAACTACAGGTGGATGGACGAGAGAGAGTAGACAGGGATGACTGAAAACAACAGATGAGAGGATGGATTAGAGAGAGGTCGGAGTAGAGGAGAGGGTCAGAGGGAGTTGCCGGTTGCGAGGGAAGAGTGAAATGGTAGGGTTAGGGTTTGGGTTAAATGTTTAGTATATATACCTAGGGCTATTCGGATTTTTGGGGCGGGTCGGGTAGCCAATTTCTAAACCCTACCCGAAACCCATTCCCTTAAATATTGGGCTGGGCATATTTGGTTTGGATTTTCGGGTTCGGGTCAACCGACCCAGACGGGTAAATGAGGGTAAACCCGATCGGGTTTTCAGGTGGGTTCGGGTTATGCTCACCCCTACCGGTGCACACCCCTAATAATAATAATAATAATAATAATAATAATAATAATAATAATAATAATAATAATAATAATAATAATAATAATTAGGGGTGTGCACTAGCCGGTTTAAACCAGAAAATCGGACCGAACCGGACCGGAAAAGATGGAACCGGATCAAACCGGAATGATATCCGGTCCGATCCAGTCCAGTTTTGAACCGGTGCACACCCCTAATAATATTAATAATAATAATAATAATAATAATAATAATAATAATAATAATAATAATTAGGGGTGTGCACTATCCGGTTTAAACTGGAAAACCGGACCGAACCGGAACGTAAAAACCAGAACCGGATCGAACCAGAATGATATACAATCCGGTTTTGAACCGATGCACACCCCTAATAATAATAATAATACTCTGTAATAATAATATTAATAATAATAATAATAAAAATAAAATATGGTCTGGGATGAATTACAATCCAAGTAAAAACAACCTATGTGAGTTTATATGGATGAGTCATTTTCATCTTCTTTTCCGTTATCAATAGTTTAGTTGATAGGCTGATAGCTAATTTTCATCCAGTTCTAAATAATTAATATGATGGATCCCTATTGAGGTAAAAGTTTAGTGGGGTGAATAAACTTTTAGATGAACTGCAACATATCGCTAGGGATGGACTTGGGCCGGGCCTGACTGGGCTTTTTTTGGAGAATTGAGGCCCGGAAGGCCGGAACCGGTCCGGGTACCTACCGGGTCCGGTTTGAGCCGGGCTACCTGGCCAAGTAGCGGGTCGGTCGGGTACGGGCTGGGCCGGGTCGGGCCTTGTCCGTTTTTTTGTTTACAAATTATTTCAAGAATTGTTGGATATAAAAAAGTTAAAGTATATTTATTTGAAATATGTAGTACAATTGAGAATTGAGAAACATTTAAAACTTGAAATACATTTTCTAATAAATAATAATCAATGGAATCTCTGTCATCTTCGGTTGTTTCCTCCATAAAGTGGCGGATGAGGGCGATGCACACTTTTTGAGTTCTACGTTGGGTCTTCAACTAATCGTGGAAGCAAACAAGCGTCTCAAGAGAGTTCGTG